TACAGGTTGTGTTTTGGGTAGAGCTCCCCGTACAAAGGAGACTCTGCCCAAATTTTGTTAAAATATGAATGGTTGATGAATGAAACTTTCGTCGTGATGAATTTTACTTAATGCTCACATACGGTAAATGGTTTTTAGAATGTAATGTCACCCACGGGGGTTTTTGGGGCGTTACACAAACTCATTGAGGCGGTTGAGAACGTTCACGTTGTCCTCTTCTAACTGCCGTAATCGACCCCCAAACTTCTCCTCGATCATTTTCGCCAGTTGACTGGCCAATGGGGCGGATCCTCTTGATCTAATGCCCATACTGGTTTGGCGGGTATGTCCCCTCGATTGAATGGAAATATTCCTGTCTACACCATCAACTTGATCCTTCATTCCAGAACTAGAAGAAGCTTGCAAATCGAGGTTTTTCTGGTGGGGATCCTTCCCTTTCTGTCGAGTATTCACCATGGTCACTGTTCTTCGGAAAAACTAGTCATTTCCCACAAACGGCGCCAGATTGTGTGCGCTGATTTTCGCACAACAATAGAAGTAGGAACAGATCTCTCTCACGATAAACTATGGTTCAACAAGACAGTAATTCCGATAGAATGGAAGGTTTGCTTTCAGAATCTCTTGTCGCCTCCGGCAGAGTTTCGACCCATCTGAAAGTGAGTTTTAGCAACAAGAAGTAGATTGAGAGAGACAAAGGAGCCCTAAGGACTGGTGATGAATTGTTTGTTGGGTCGTCTGACCGGTCCTGGAAGACTGTAGGGGGATCTTGAGACACGAAAAAATAGGTTAGAAGGGTGCCGGAGTACTCTCCGGTGCATCCCCTCCAATGATCAAATTAGTTCTTTGAGAGAGAGGGGAAAAAGAAAGCATTGTGGTTCTTTTTAGGAGTTCTTGCGTACTTTTGCAATATGTTTTTGAGGACTATTTATACCTTCAAAAGCTTATCATTGCTGATAATATAACTAGTAGACAATCATTAGAGATGAGGCAGTGTGCCCCTTTTCCTTTAGTGGGGAATGCGTTCAGCCTTAACTGCTCGAGACGCCGAGTAATTGACGCTTTCCCTTCAGCCTGCCGAGTATTTAATGCGCTTCCCTTGGCGAGGGAGCATTAAATGCCTAGGCATGGGAGCATTTAATGCCTTTCACTTCTCAGCCACCCATGCCTTAAATATTGTCTCATTAGGAAGGGGCTTCATTAAATGCATACTTGCTCTAGCCATGTGTTAGCAGGGGTACCCATGTCCTTTTGCTACTGATTTGATATCAAATTCCACGCGTCCACTCCTCTTTGGTTGTGTGTTCTGCATCCCTGCTCCTCCTAACACCATTGAGCAGAGCGTCTTCATGATGATTAGTCTAGCCTGCCCTAGGCTAGCCATCAGTCAATCATTATCTTTCGTAGAAGCAGAGGAGAGGTTGGATTCAGCCTACAGAAGGAACAACTCGGTACCAAGGAACATTTGTCTATCTCGGGGGTCAAGGTTTTTACCGAACTGAGGACATGTGTTGATCACGCCGATGTGGGGGATCCCTCGGCTCTGAGCACTATCTCCTCGGCAGAGGGCAGAGGGGATAAGTGTTGCCGAGGACACGTGGTCATGCCTGGCTGGAATCATAATGATGCCGAGGACACGTGTCACCGATCTGTCTTCTCCCATAAATGTCCCATCATTACCCAACCCAACTAAAGTCGAGATTCTGCACAAATTCCACCTAACCGACCATCTACAACCAGTCATCTAAAAATGTGAAGGAGAGCAAGACCAAAAAAGGCTGCCACCATCCACACTCCATAGTCACTTGTTGACCCCTATCTTCTTCACCTCACAACACTTATTGATTCCACATAAAATATCATGGTTCAAAATATTATGGTCGATACCAATACTAGTGGTACGATAAGAATTATGAGTTGGCTCGATAAACAAATAAAAATCAATAATTAGATTCATGCACCATATTTTTATTTTACCATAATCTAGTCTTAACTTTATTATGGTCTACTTAGAGACATTAGAAGAAGACCACCATCTCTATCTGGGTACGATTCATTCATTCGTTTGTTGAACATAAAACCTAATTATAAATCCACTATTGGTTTAAGAGGTGTGTGGTGGGGTTAAAATAGAATAAAAAATAAAAATTATTTATTTATTTATATTTATATTTATACTACTCTTAAAAGTGGCTTACCATGAAAAACATTTGCTTCCCTTTTTTACCCTTCATAAACTCAAAAAAGACTTTTGTATTAGTCTGTTCAAATTTCTAACCGATGAGTCTCATTCAATTAGGAACTTGTTTTATGAAGTTTAAAAGAGGGCTGAGATTATGCCCTATAAATTCCTTGAGGAAATATTTCAACAGTTACTATTTCAAGGTTATCATTCTTTTGAATCTCATTGGTTGGTAAGTTTGGCTACAAAGTCACACACCTAATCTCGAGTAATGGACGAGGCATCTAAAGTTTCCCAATTCAGCCCATTGTTTTTGCAAGGGTTGCACGTGTAACGCTTTCTCTGTTTTCCCCACATCCCAGCCTTGTCAAGTTTTGGTGCAATTCCCATGCAAAATGTATGTGTCGTTGCTAATGCATATCCAAGTGATAATGCATACATTCATATAAAGGTGATTTTGTCTTTTTCTTCATGTTTTTTGTATTTCCTTGGTACATTAATATTTTTCATTTGGTCTCTTAGAGTTCAAAAATTCAATATTTGAGAGATCTTGACATCGAGTCATCAGAAATTGAGAAATTGATAACCAATGCTCCAAATACGAGAGCTCTATTTTTGTGTGTGTCTGTGTGTTAGGACTATTAAATTTTTTTGGAATCTTAATTAGGTTTTATTTGAATAAAACTTGGGATTTTGACATGTCTTCCCTCTCTCCCACTACCTTTTATCTGTCGAATCAACATTTTGTTAATGTTCTATTTTTCTTGGTCTGTCCTATCAATGTACGGTTTCTTTCGATTCCCAGGTGGCACCAAGGCTTGCTAAGAAATCTACGGTGCTGCAAACATTTGCATGAAATCTAACTCCAACATATGCCAAAATTCATCGCAATACCCCCTAGGCTATTGAAGGTATATAGTGTTATTGGTGTTTATTTCATGTCACTGACAAATAAATTTAAATGACTTGTACATTTACCTTCACGTGTTGAATCAATTCCATAACAATTTGATGAAGCCTTCTTTCAATTGTGCACGTGATTTATGAGTCTGATGTTTTTGGTTTGGGTATGGTTGGAGGATTTATCTTCATGTTGGAAGTAGAAAAAGACGAAGGGCAAAGTAATTGAGAAAAAAAAAATGAAATGTCCACGACCATGGTTGAACACTTAATTTGCAGTTAACAATATAATTGAAAAACGTACTCTTACCACCTTTTGAAGCATAGAAATATAAGATAAACAACATCACTCCATCTTCCTCGTGGAAGTTACAGGAAGGATTCCACAAGGCAGAGACATAAGTGCATAACATTGAACAATTGATAAAAATATGTAATTATAGATGTTGTGATAAACTTTGTATTTTATGTAGGGGATTATTTTTACATTTTGTTCTGCCTATGTATATGATCTTCCTTGTAAGTCAGGAATGGACTTATTAGGTAAACAATATGAGATGCCTGGTGAGCCTGAAAGTGATAGGTTGTCTGTATAAGTTTCATGGAGCAAGATGTTACTGAGTAGTAGGTTTCTTTGTCTATTTCTTTTATTTTTTAGGTCCTATGTTCATAGTCAAATTACAAAAATTGGAACTGAAAGGCAATGATATTCATTGAGACGAGAGTTATAATGACACAATAAAGTATAGAAACTCTCATGTCGATAGTTATATCCACTACTCGCAAATGAGATGCCTATTAGACAAATAGTAGTTAAATAGTAGAGATTTTAAAATGATTTTTCATCATTTAAATTTTATTGCCAAAGGAAGGCTAATACTAAAAAAAATTTTAACCAATGAGTCTTTAGTTCAATGGTACTTCTATCTTAGGCTTTTTGAGATCTCAAGTTCTCCGCCCCCTCCCCCAAAAAAAAAAATGAAGAAAGATTTCATAGATTACTTATATTCAACGTTCCAGCAATACAAACAAAAATTATTAATGACGAATTTCAAAAAACACAAATAGCTCACGATACACATAAAGAAAATCTCATTTGTACAACAAATATACATGATCGAGAGAAACCTGTTTCATAAGTTATATAGATTAGTTACTATATTGATTTAGGAGCAAAAAGACTCATTTATGTTATAAATTGAATGGTGCAAAGTGAAATTTAGTTTGAAGAAAAAAACAATAAACATTGTTTGGAAACTCAAAGAGTTCCAATGTTAGGAGGTAGATTATCAATGAAGTTGTATATTATTGTCTCTTTTTTTTTTGGTTGATTTTTTGTCATTTAAAAACACAACATCAGCTAACATACTAAAGGTAATAAAATTGAAAAATAAAAAGATCAAAATCAAATAAAAACTTGAATTTATTCACGTGTAACACTCGCGTAGATGAATTAATCTTTATAAAAGTATCATTTCAAAATAAGGTAAAAAATTTAAAAGCATAGTTGAATTTATACACTAGTTAAATTATACTTTGACCCCTTAAATTATGTTTTTTACTTTATTTCCTCAATTATTATTTTGTTATATTATCTTCTCAATTATTGAAGATGAAAATTGCTGATGTCAATTATTTAATTACTTTCCATTAAAAACCATGATAGCCGTTAGCTCACACCCAAACCTGTCTTCTCTCTCTCTTGGTTTCCTAATCTGTTGTTCACGAACTTTGAATTTAAGCCAAAGCCTCTCTTCTCCTTTAATCTCAACGGCTCTCTCTCTCTCTGTATCTTTAACGATTCGATAGAAACGACGATCGTCTCTTCTTAAACACTAAATTCCACCGCCAGATCAATTCTTCGCCTCCGTTTGTTTGATTCCTCTCTCTTCTCTCCGAAAATATTCAGCATTGTAAAGCAATGGAGTCGTTGATCGAACTCTGCGATCTGATCGCACAAAATCCTTCGCAGTTTGCTGATAAATTGGCTTGGATTTGTGGCCGATGTCCACCAATTGACTCTGTTCCGGCAGGATCATTGAGGGTTTCGAGGTCACAACTTATTGCAGTACTCGCCACGGCTAGATTTCTTTTTAAATGCTCCAGTTTCGATGGCATGAGACCCAAACCGGCAGTCCTAGGGTTTTTTAGGTCGATTCCGTATTCTTTCGCTCAATCTTTTTGGCCACAGTCGTTTGGAATCGCTTCGTTCTTTAAGGATTTCTTGAGTTATGTGAATAAAGCTAGTGAGCTGTCCTCGGATTTTGCCATGGACGTTGTGGAGTATATGGGAGAGATTGTGATGTCGGCGATTAACAATGTCGGTGGAGATTTGGGGCTTTAAAGGGTTTTCTTGAATGCTCTGTCGCAGACGCTGTGCTGCTGCTGCTGCTCATGGAGAGAAGTCTGGGGGTTCGTAAAGAACTTTCGAATGTACTCGGCAATAATAAATTGGATAGCTGTACGTTTTTTTCACATCATCAATACAATCGTCCAATTTGTAGCTGCTTTAATGTATGTGATTTTGTTTTTCTGATCGTAGTTAATCGTGTTTATGGCTTCGCAGTTGCACTGTTACCATATATCCATCTCCCAGGGTTGATGTAGACCAATGAGTTTTGGAAGTCTCTGAAGGGGTAGACAATCTTTTTCAATATTAAAGTTTTTCTTCCTATTCTTTTGGTTATTATTTTGATACATGGATTTGTTTTCACTGCTTTCCTATGTCAATTACCTAAGTGAAGAGTTATCTTAAGGTTGTATTCATGGTTATGCCTTCACTTTTTATCTTAATCCCTCATTCATGTATTCACTATTAGATTGTTTGCTTTCTGCTAATATTGGTAATTTTGGTAAATAAATGTTGGTGTGGGATTAAAGGTCATGCCATGAGGGATGAGGTGCATAAGCTGATTTTTTATGGACTGCAAAGTAGATTACTGTCTATATTTCAGGACCTTCTATCCTTTAGCTATTTGAACGCATGGTAAGTTCAAGGCTATGATGCAAATGCATGGTAAGTTCTAGGCTATGATGCAAAGTTCAGTGGGATCTTGTCTGCTTCATGCTTTCACCCGTAGGAGTATGCAATTTGTTATGTGGATGTGGGATGTTAAGAGTGTAATTATATTTATTTATCATTAAGGGTAGTCTAGTCTTTTCGTTATTGTAGATTCCTTTTATATTGTCTCTTGTACTCACTTTTCATTATTATGAATACTAGAGTGCTGCATATAGTTTTTCTCTTCTTTTATCCTCTCTTTGTGTGATAGAAGAAGAAAAACCATATGCGGCATTGCCAATGGCAATTGGCTCTGAGAGCCCAAGCATTGGGTATTTAAAAATGCAGTATTAATTCACCTTTATATCCCAAAAGAAAAACCATCATAATCATACTTGAGTCTTTGAGAGGCCAACCCACAAATTTTGCCTTGTTGCCAAGTGCAATGTGCATTGGGGGGGGGGGGGGGGGGGTATTATCATATGTACTGTAATACTGGAATTTTTAAATTCACTTTATCGTCTTATTTCTATTTGTTTTATAGAACGATATACATTTCGTTTGGTTCAGTGTTTAGATAAGGTGCAGTTATATGTTCTTGTCAAGAGATCGATTGAGCAAAACATTCTGCCCGACGACAATATTGTTCACGAACTTCTTCGTATGGGTAGTATATTTATTCCTTTGTCCTTTCGTACTTTTGTTATGTTTGTTTGCTGAACTCTTTTATTTTGTCCATGCCCAACTGGTGACACAAATTATTTTCAGGTATGGAGAATTATTGTCTATTCAATGTAATTTTTTCATCTATGTCATTATTTGTTACTATTATTATAATAATTTTGCTTGTTCTTGTCTGAATTATTGGCTAGGATATAGTTCTAATGTCCCAAAATGTCCATTGTCATAAATGCTCATATTTTAAGACGTACAATCAACACCTACACACATTTTCCTTTGATGAATAGCTCTTTTGTATTAACGCTCCTTCCCATGGTTTTGGTACTGATTAATGCTGTTAATTAGTCTACTTCATAGGCTATGAAGGGAAGATGTGCGAACCTTATCTAAATTGTCTTTTAACGGACACCTTGACACACCTAAAAGAGCAGAGGAGGCCAATTTTTTAGGACAGAGGGTGTATTTTATTACTATTGTATGCTGTGCATCCTTATACGTGTATTCTATAATTATTTTTGTCAATCCTAAGGGGTTGGTACAAAGCTTCTTTTGAATATATAAATAGATGAACTTTCGAGGGACATTGATTGTATATGGTGGTTCTCATTGTTGAAAGCAACCTGTTTGACTTTTGTTTTGCCTCTTTTATTCATTTCTTTGTGTCATGAAGGTTATGCTTCAGTACTATATCGAGTGGCAAGTTTTGTTGGACTGCACCCGACAGACTGTCATGCATGCTTTCAATTTATTATACAACTTTTTTTGAGGGCATCCCCTTTATTGACATTCGTGGCTGTATAAAACCTGTGTTGTGTGCTTTATTCATTTGAGCTATTTGTTTATTACTAAGAAATGGTTAGTTGAATTTTTCTTTCATTCAATTGTTTACTGCAATCTTATCCCGAATTACGTCATTCTTAAATTACCCCAATTTTATAACCACAAGCTACTCCCTCTCTCTCTCTTTGTTTATACCTTTTGAATCTCATGATGGAGAGGAGTTTATTAATCCAAAATAGTTGCTAGATCAAGAGGAGGGCAGTAACCTGTCCTTTGTAAAGATGTAATGGTCTGCAAGAAAAAAAAATTAACGTAGATGAATGTAGGCACATCCCGATTTTGTGTAAAAGTTATAGAACTCTATTTTGGGAAAATGGAAGAAGAAGAGGAATGACATGCATAATTGATCTCTTGATTTGTGTCTCTGTAATTAGCTTTTAATCATTTCCATGGTATTCTTTCAAGCTTAATCGCATATGTGGTAGCATAATTGAAGTAGAAAATCTTTATTTTTCCTTTCCTTCTGTTTATTCCTCCTTTTGAAGCGTAATCACATGTATAGTGGTGCATACATACACATGCCAAGTTAAATGGGATCACGTTGGTTGATTGTAGACCCTAAATTGAGTTAAATGGGATCATGCCAAGTTAAGTGCCGCAAGCCGCATTGACAATTAGTTTTGTTTATTATTTTTAGTGCTTTATTTTTTCCCCTTTTTTTTTTTCAAACTTCAGCCTACATACATACATATATTTATCACTTGTGGATTCCTATGGTTTTGTCGGTGGGATCCAATTAATTTTAAAATGGATGATCATTCTTGACCAAAATTAACAAAATTTGAAATTAAGAGGATCTAATTCGTTTAATAATTGTGGTTTGTTATTATGTGCCTGATTTGTTTGCCGAGCGTTTTAATCATTGTATATATGTGTTCATTTGTGATGTAGTGTAGTTAGCTTAATTCTCAGTGTGCAGTTAGTCCGACAAAGTTAAGGGCAGTCTGTGAAAAAGGTATTCTTTGATAATTATAACCATTCCTGAAATGGGTATACTAGAATGTTGATCCTATTTTATCATATATTTTTTATTTTGCTTGGATGGTTCTTTCCGATGGGAATACCCTATCATGACCGAAATCATGTTTGTGGTACTTTTTGCATGACCAGTTTTGCTAAAGATGATCATACCATGATTACACTGGTGTGGGTGCCACGATTAGTTTGACAATACAACTTTTGACATTTCCTTCAAACATATCTTTGGAACTTTTGTGGGCCTGCATAAATATTTTCTTCGGTTTTGCTGTGGGGTTGGAGTTTCATGAATGAGTTAGCTAACTTTACAGGTTTATAAATGCATCTCAGAATTATACTGATGTAGATTTTTCATAGTAACACGATTCTTTCTGAATGTAAAGCTTGGACTGATATTCTATATCCTCAGGTAAAATTAGTGATTGGGGTGCACTTAGGTATTTACACTTATGTGAACAAGCGAATGACAACTATCTGTGTGGTACACACATATTCTGGAACTCTTTTGCTCGTCTGCTCAAATCCAATTGTATGTGCCCTGACTCTTGCTTGTTATTCACTTCCATATTCCCTATATGCAGCTAGTCACAGTTAATTTTGGTAGAATAAAATTTATTCACGGAAACAATACTACCAATGCTTCCTTCATTATATCTAAATATATATATCTATACTATTGATAAAAGTATGGATGCATGAAAAAATTTTGATCACCTAAAATGTCCCTATCAAAATACTTAATAACAAATATAGTGTCCCGTTATTATTAGTATCATTCATAACACTACGTCTTTTTTAATAGCTTATAATAATAAATCTCTCCACATATTCGTTAATTATATAACTTCCCCCACTATTTAAAAGTTAGCAACAAATTTCCCCTTTTTAACATGCACAATAATGTCTGATGATATTAGTAATAACAATTTTATAAATACCAAAAATATCATTAAAGACATTGGATAGATTAGTATAAACCTAAAATACTGACTAAATGACATAGCTCTTAAGAAAAACAAAATGTTCAAAGATGTAAGCTGGTGCATTTCGGGCAAATGTGGATTTCAGTTAAATTTTCATATTTATTTGTTGTTTATTTGCCCAAGATACCATGTGAATATTTATTTGTGTTTGCATTTTTTTATTTCATTCAAATGAAAACCATACCCAATTCACCACAAAAGTGTGCAAATGTCTAACATTCACTTCTCTATTACTCGCACACACTCAGATGACTGTAAATCCCTTTTTGTCAATGTTTTCTCTCTTCTTTTCCTCTCATTCAGGTGATATTAATATATTTATTTATCTCTCACTGTTTTTTTTTTCTGTTGCAGAAGATGTCGATTACTAACTTATGCATTTTACTTCCTTGTGTTTCACTTACCCAGAGTTCCCCGATTACTTGCTCAGTTTGGGTGTTTTCTCAGGCTAGCCAAGGCCAAGTTTATCGTGCCATTAATGAAGGGTTTATTATGGTAAAATTAACATACATCTGGTCATTTAGCATATTAGGAATTGCTTGTTTCTATCTGAATCTTATTTGTGATTGTTGATTGGATCTGACTATTTCTGCTATTATATCAGGTTTTAGAAGATAAATTTTAGTAGGTTAATTGGACCAGATTTAGTCGTTATCTCTTCTCTTATTGTTTGAAATATTTTTCTTCCTTTTTCCCCTGTTTTTGTGGCATCTTCAAGCTTTAGATGAATTTTTTTTCTTCTTTGCGTTATGTTTCTGTAGTTTATGAGTTCTACAATCTGCCTTTTAAGGTCTTTGAACAAGCTGGCTTGCCCGGATTGTCATGAGGCGACCTGTGGTGTTGCAACTGCAGAAGACGGTGGATGGGCAGCAGGAGTATGCCAAGTTTGCTCATATACGGCACAGGAGATCCACTGATTTTTGTATGTATTTCCTACTGAGAATTTCTTTAGCTAATTTATGTGCTTGGCTATTTTTGGATTAGACAGTGATTGTGTGATGATTGAATTTCAGTTCACTGAATTTGCCTCTGTTGCTCAACCAAATACAACTTTTGTTCCCCTATGTCTTCTTGCAATGAGGAGAGTGCAATATCATTAGATTGAAATTGAATATTGAGACCAACCTGATTATTTTTTTCGGTAGTTGGCTACAACATCAGGGTATTGGGCAGTAATCAGTCATGGTTAGTTTTTTCTCTGAACTTATTAGTTTGATAAGATCACCAACAGGTCCGAAATGAAAGGAGAATAACACATACCTAGACTTGCAAGTTGCAACTCTAAATTGTTGTACTTAGAAAAAAAGAAACAAAGTTCTATTGCGATATGTGTAGATGGTTGCTGCAACTTTTTTGTGCTCCACCTCCTTTGGTTTGTCCTTGTGCGAAGTATTTCCTTTAGTTTATTTGGTAGATTCTTCTAGGACTTTTTCCATGTCTCTATCTGTGTGTATGTGTTAATAATATGGACTCTCTTTGTCGGTAAGAATTCGTAATATGGACTCTCACGTCGACAAAGCTGTTTGATTTTTTTGCAGTTCTTGGTTCGCCAAAGAAATCATGGATGAAACTGATAAAATAACAGGAAAGATAAAGCAGATTTGTCTGTCCCGTTCCTATCCATCTCAGAAACTATTCCCCCATTAGTGTGTTATTTTTTAATATAATTTCGAAAGAACTGTTGTGACAAATCTGATTTCAGATTTTTCTTTGAAGTCACTGTTATTGACTTACTTTTCCATGGAATATAAATCTTGAAGTTCCTTGGTTGTTCCTCCAACTTGTCATAGTGACATGTCTTAAAGATTTTTGACATGGGCTTATTGCTTGATTTATTTGGTTTCTGTGTGGGAGAAAATTTACTTGATTCTCTGGGCAAATGTTGCAGCTAATGAGTCATACATTGGATGTGGTGCTTCCATCCTAGTTTTTGTATATGAATATGACATGGAATGGTTGATGGTTTTTCCATTTTGGCTATGGGCTTTGTTAAGTTGTGAGTATACTACATGTTTTCTTGATTCTCTAGGCAAATTTTGCAGCTAATGAGTCATACATTGGATGTGGTGCTTCCATCCTAGTTTTTGTATATGAATATGACATGGAATGGTTGATGGTTTTTCCATTTTGGCTATGGGCTTTGTTAAGTTGTGAGTATACTACATGTTGTACTGTGAGGCATAATTTCAAATTTCAATTAAAAAAATTAGAAAAAAATTTGTCAAATAAGATCTATCTTGTGCATGAGGATCAGTTATGAGAATCGAAGTCTGAAACATTGAATAATTATGGTTAGTATGTTGGTTTTTGGTTTCAATGACATAAAGTAGGCTATAATTTCGTGCTCTATATCAGTATAATGATATCATATTCCTGCTAGCCAACTTTTTATTTTCTCTCTTCCACTAACTCTATTTTCCATTTTTTCTCTTGATAGATTTTCCTGATTTGACGAAAGTGACTGTTGGTATCCCCTATTTAGTTTATTATGTTTTCGGATCTCGTAAGTGTAGCTGAACTGCATTTAATAAAAAGTGGTTTATTCTTTGCGGAGGGCCAGCTGGAAAGTATTGTTCAAGACATTGAAACCATTGTTCGATCTTATGGTTGGAAGGTACTATAATTCATCTCTTGTAAATACAATACACTTATTGTTAGAGCTTATCTCACTTTGACATTATGGCATCTTTCTAACTAGTATACCCTTGTGAGCCTTTCCACCCATTGCCTACTGGTTTTGAGTGGATGCCTTTGACACACTATCTTGGGAGAGTTTGGGAGGTTTTTGGAAAGACTCGTTCTCAACTTCATTGATTTGGTATTTGGTTCTCCCTTTGTTCATACTGTAAGTGCACCTTCTTATATCTTTGAGTGAGTTTTGTGGTTTTTATTTCTGCCTCTCCGTGTGCAACAGGTGGTTGCGCCTGTGGGGATGTTATATCTTATCCCACATGCATATAATTGCACGACCCAAACTTGTATATGAGCCTTGTGGGCCTCTTCACCCATTGCTAATAAGATTTGAAATGGATGCCTATAAGACCTACATTAACTTACCCTGAAAAATACCTACGTTGGAAATTTGTCACTCCAAGGGTGCTCCCTTTGGTTGAATGACTTGGTACTTCTTAAGATTTAATAAATCTCCATAATCTGATGCATTTTTCCCTTATTCCTTCTTATGCCTTTTTTGTCTTTGTGGGATTTCCAGCATTCTAATATACTATTGATCTTTAGATTTTCAGATGCTGTGGAAGTTATTGCATAATTCTGGATACCTCCCAAGTCAGTTTAGGTTGCAAATTGTTGTGTTGCAACAAAGTTGAAAACATTTCACTTCTAATTTACAAGATAAATTTTCACTTTCATTTCAAGTGGGCTCCCTTTTGTTGAATGACTACTTCTTAAGATTTGACAAATCTCCATAATCTGATGCATTTTTTCCTTATTCCTCATTATGCCTTTTTTGTCTATGGGATTTCCAGCATTCCAATATACTATTGATCTTTAGATTTTCATAATGTAGTGGAATTATTGCAGCTTATTACAACTGGTGGAGATGTTTTGTGTTGTTCCACAAATATGATACTCACCTTTGTACCATTAACTTCCTCTATTTCATTTGCTGTCTACACGTACCATCCTTGTTGATGCATTGTAATTTTCTATAGAAATTTCTTCTGTTGTACAGTTTTTGGATCGTTGAAATTGATGAAACTATGTTTGCCATCGCCTAACAGCATTACACTAACAATTTCCCCTGCCAATCAAGATATAGCACCGTCAGATGCTATCAAGCTTTCTAGGAAAGTGGATCCATCGGGTTTGTTTTGTTTGCAGTCAATTTATGAATCTCTACGTAATTTCTTTATATTATGCAGTTTTCTCCTTAGGACAAGATATGTGGCTTGCCCACGTGAAAGGACATTTGGATGTGTCCTTTATCCTTAATTTTCTGTTGTCTCCTTTTATGTCAACAGTTAAGTTGATACGGCATTAGACAATATACTTCTTGATGAAGAGTTTCCTCTTTTTGTTTTTCTGTTTCCTTTTATTTTCGTATTTAGAAGTCTAGATGATTGACATTCTTCTTCCCCGCCGAATGTTCTTGAAGGAAGATCATATTGGTGGCAACATCCTTGGGTGGGAATTGTGAACCGTTCACAAGCTGATATAAATAAAAACACTGATATGATTTCTGCAACGTGGAAAGAATGCAAATGCTTCACTACAAGTCCTGAATATGGAACTTAGCTAGTGAAATGGGTTCAAAGTATCTTGAAAAACTTCTCTCATAGGTATAATTTTGTGGGACTTCAAATTATTATGTTTTTATTGATCACAAAAAGGTAAACTAGATGTGCGCTTTTACTATATGCACTCGGTGTATGTAATTAAGACGAGAATACCAGGTATTACGTCAAAGCATTTATGAACTCGAAGCTGAGATGGATATTTAAGGAGCATCTAGATGGAGGGTAAGTAACATGACAACTTAATCTAGTGCTCGCTCTGGTCTTCAAAAAAAATCTCCATAATCTGATGTAATTTTTATTATGATGAAGTGCGGTGATTCATTTTTGTTGGTCTTATTTTTGATGATTGATTTCTTCTCTCTTTTCTTGTTGTATAGTAGAGTCGCTAGCTCCATATTACAATCATCCACCATATTTACAGATGGGCTATGGTAATGTCAATTTTGCATAGGGTAATGTGAGTAACATGAAATTTATTCTTAAGGATGTCGGACATGATGCCCTACGTATCCTATAATTGGAAGAACGTTTGATGTTGGAGATGTATGAGCTTGTTGAGATTTGCATTCCATGCTAATCTTGTTCATGGACAGTTAGTTTGTCCTTTGTTGCTTGTCATCTAAATTTTTGGATTTGTAATTTTTTGTGAATTGTTGACAGTAAAGAGTCATGCTCATCCAGAGTGCAGGTTATACATCGATGGCATCGGATGATTATTTATTTTTTTTCTTTTTCAAATTTTGTAATCTTCTAACATTCTGCAGAATGTCGTCTTCTTATTAGTTCAGTGAGGGGTGAGGCAACCAAGAATCCCCTAGCAAAGTCGGGAAATATATGTGGTGGGAAAATATAAATATCAGAGAAACACAATGCAGGGATAGTCTCAAGCAAGGGGAGCATACCGGTGGGCCTAGGAAGTCTACAAGGTTGTCTAATTCATCAAGTTTAACACCAACATATTACTTCCCCATTACTACCTTGGACAAGTCAGGTCCAGATGATGGTTGGTTGTTTCAAGAAGGATATGCCTCTAGTGTGATGAGTTGAGGTTTCAATACTTTCTACCAAACTTCAGGGGCTCAAAATAGTACATCTTCATGTTATATATTTTTGATTGAAGATACTTTTGATGGATATCCGGTCCCCAAATTACTCGTTGATGCCTCACGTGAGAGCTGCAAGCATGATGGTCCTACCGAATTTTCACCCAACAACAACTTTTTCCCAGAAAAGCTTGAGTTCCACCAATCTCATAAGAACACTAGTTTTCCTAAATTATTTCCAGACTTCAATGGGGAATGCATATCTCAGGATTCATTTTATGTTGGGAGGTATGGAGTTTCCCAAAATAACAGTTAAAGAACGTGTTTACCAAGACGGAGAGAAGATTTGTCAACAGATGATGGAAAGTTTGAGCTAAAGGATGATGCTAGCAATTGCTGCAATAACTTGTCCTCAGAAAATGGTAAGCCAATGGATGCCAATATAGTCCCTCCAAGGAACCAAAAGAAAGAACTTCAGAAATGGTGGCCCAAAAAGCACCTTGTTCTCGACAAAATGCAGAAGAGACATTGTCATATGCGAAGATCCCCTATAAATATGAGGCGGTATTGATGAAACGAAGTAAGACAATTTGAATTTATGTTGTTCATCCCCTTCTTATTACTTAGCGTGGTTTACTCAAAATTTTCATTACAAGACTTTCATTACTTTTGTGAATTTCAGATATAAGCAAGATACTCAAACTTTTATTTCATATCAAAAAGGGTGTAAATGTACATTTCTAACTTTTTATTTCTTGACCTTTTTTCTTGAACTGTTATTTATCTTACCTTTATTATTTTTCAACAAGGTTTGAATCAACATCAATCAGGGTTTTCATGGATACCATTTTTGCAGCTACAAAATAGAAGGTTCTGGACCTAAATAAGGAAGGATTGGAAGTAAAGTAGAGAAGAATAGTGCCGACCCATCTTGTTAGGTGATGCTTAAAGCTTCTGCAGCTTCTATGTGTGCAAGTACTAGAGGAATGATCTGCACAGGGCATTGTAAAAAAGGTATGATAGTTCTTGACATTTGGTTTATAAAGGGATCCTATTGAAACATTAATTGAACTAAAAAATTAAATTAATCTTTGGCTTGTTAGAAGTTATGGAGGTGTCTTTTACATGGCAAGGCATAGTTATTGTGTATCCTATCTTCTTCTTTTATCAATGTGTGTTATGTTTGTTTTTGAGTTTGATTGTGTAATAGTGTGCATATTTTTCTTTTATCACTATGTTTTTGTGCATTTTTATGTTGTTTTTTTGTGTGTTTATTATGGTTTTTGTGTGTGTGTTTATTAGGGTTTGTGAGTGTGTGTTTTCCTTTTATCAATTTGTTTTTGTGTATTTTTTTTTATGTGTATTGTGTGTGGGTGTGTGCGTTTTTATTGTAATGTTTGCGCATCTTTATTTTCTCAATGTGTGTTTGATTTGTGTAATGTGTTAGCGTGCGTTTATTACCATGTGTATTTTTTATGTTGTATGCGTGTGTTCTTTGTGTTTTAGTGTGTGATTTTTATGTGTCAGTGTGTTTCTTTTTATGTTTATATGTGTATTTTTATAGTGTGTGCCTATTTTAATGTTTTTGACTATTTATTTACGGGTTTAAGGATATGACTATCCTTCTTAGTTATACTTGACCCTAAGGTAGAGCTAGAGGCAAGACCACAAGGCTACAAGTAACCAATATGTTTACAAATTAGTGGGTTAGGTACCTAATTGCCTGTTGTAATCAGGTTGGGTAATACCACTCAAATTAATAAAGTGGGTTAGATATGGGTGTCCAATGGGTTGGAACATAAGTAAGTACTCATCCTTAATCCTCACTACACCAATGCAAACACCACCACCATCATCCTAATAAGATTTCTCCCACACTCTTCAATGATCAATTGAAAATTCCATTCATATATTTCAACCAAATGAAGATATATGCTCCAGTAGATCACTCTAAGTCAATGTCGGTTGGACATAGATAGATCACTCAAAGTCTACATTTATTAATGCGTCTATGTGTGTTTTATTGTGCATTGTGTATTTTTCTTCTATCAACGTGTGTGTTTATTCTTGCGTTTTATTATGTATTAGTGTGTGTATTTTTTTGTTATCAATATGTTTTTGTGTGTTTTTATGTGTCTAGTTTGTGTGTGTGTGTGTGTTTTTATTAGCGTATGTCTATTTTTCATTAATTTGTTTTTATGTGTTTCTATGTGCACAATGTGTGTTTCTTTTATCAACATATTTTTGTGCATGTGCTTTTAGGGGTATTGTGTGTGGGGTTATTTTTATTATAGTGTGTATTTTTTCTTTTTACAATGTGTTTTAATATTTCTTTGTGTGTATAGTGTGTGTGTGCATATTTTTATATTATCTAAGTGTCTATGTATGTGCCTTTTGTGTTTCAGAGTGTGCCTTTTATGACCAAATCCATTACAACTATTTGTGAATCCTGTCAAATGCAAGGAAGTCCGCTTTATCAAGCCTTTTAGTTTCAGAAGTTGATACACTAATGACTTTGTTTAAGAATTCTTGCATGCAGTTGGTTGATATTTGAGAGCAGGTATATGTTTACATGCGGGTCCATTTAGATCATTTGTTGGGCCGTTTCGTTTAATGACTTTGTTATGTTTGGTCAAAAATTGATGGAAAGCTTACCAATCTGAAGAAAGAGGTAGCCACTGAAGACTAAGCACCGCTAGACACTACCTGTGGTTAGTAAGGAGTGCTACATGTTGCTTCTCAATACATACATCCGTACGTATACACAATACTTATAAATGTATATATCCATACACATATATCTTCTTCCTCTAGTCATATCGTTTCCTATATATATCAAAAATAATTTGTATCTTGTACACAAGAGCCAATTTCTTTTAAACAGCCTGATATTTGACAGGGTTCCACAATTTTAATAATTTAAAACTCTCTTTGAGTAGTTTCATCCCACTGATTCTACCTTGTATTTGGTGAAGTTTTATACTTTATGCCGATAATCATGTCGGTATGTACATTTATCTTAAAATATTGTGGATCTTTCTAACGATTCTAACTTTGATACATGGTCGATGTACTATTAGCCACGATTCATGTCTGTCTCAATTTTCAGCTGGAAAATTGTGGAGATGGCTTGTTTACGAGCTTTGCAAGAATGTTGTCTTTCTAGCATTGGACAAACTGCTGCCAAAATTGGAGATCATCTAAGGGTGAAGGTTTTGTAATGCTTAGCTATGTAATTTTTTTTGGTCTCATTTTCACTTTGTTCTGTTGGATTATATATGATCTTATTGACTAATGCAACTTTTTCTTCCTAGAGTGCAGATGCTCAGCACAAAACTGCTAGCTAAACGACCAAAATATCGGGTTTGAGTTTTAGTATATATGTCTTTTGTGTCCTGCCTTATTCCAGTTATTCTTCGTCATTGATTTATCTCACGTGCTAAATTTACCTAACGAAAGACATCAATGTTTACTTGTGCTTGACCATTGCTTTTTTACATTTATTTCTTTGTGTCTCAAAGGTACTTTCTTGTTGGGTTTCAGGGTCCTGCAAACAAGCCTGGTGTTTGTTAAATATGCCATGGGAGTCTGTCTGACAGAGTTATCTGCAGTCTGTGAAAGAAGATGTCTTCTTTAGATACTATCACCATTCCTGAAATGGAGGCATAATAGAGTGTTGATCCTGTTTTCGTTAATTGTGATTTTTATCTTTTAGCGAATATTTTTAGTTTGCTTGGATAGTTATTTCCGTACTTATGATGGGCATACCTTATCATGACCAAAATCCTGTTTGTGGTATTGGCAGCATATTCGCTGGCACTTTTTTGCTGAAGATGATCACACCATGGGATTACACTGTTGCAGTTGCCACGGTTAGACTTCTTCGACATCATTTGAATTCCCATACAAAGCAGTAGTTTATTTTGCAACTTTTGAGACTTCCATCAAACATACTCTGGAACTTTTGCAGGCCTGCATAAATATTTTGTTTGGTTTTTATGTGAGTTGGAGTTTCTTGAATGTTGGAATATTGCAGCCGTTTCATCTCCATCCTATTTCCTCCCTCCCCTTCTCTCTCTAATGCAAACATTCCTTTTCTAGTGTCCATCACCACCACCCACCACTTATCTATCACATCTACCACCCACTACATTCATTACCATCACCGCCTAAACCACTCATCTCCACCACCCAGCCGCTCATCTCTATAACCATCAAACTATCACCTCAGCCACACATTTTCTTACATTTTTTCAGCATTTTTCCACACACGACCACCCATCGGCACTACCAAACATCACAGCCAGTAGCCACCCATCAACACTTCCTGTCACCTCCCACCCCCAATCATCACTCACCTCCCGCATCTTTCCTTATTCTGTCCTTCATGCAACGCAATCAACCAAATGTTGGAATGGAATGGTAATACCTCCAGTCCTATTCCTGCATACAATCCATATGAAAGAATGATGATGACCATTCCCATTCAGTTCTAGTGTTATTCAATTTTAGGACTCATCCCATTCTGTCCAATTTTCAATCATCAAATCAGATGAGGAGTGCAAATTTGACAGCACAAGTGCAGCCATTTGAAGGCAAGGACACAAGGATATTTGATGTGGTAAATGAAAGTAGAATAGTCACAAAAGTTATATCATTAGCATGCACTACTAGAGGTTGATATGTAATTCAAGTTTATGCTTATGATATTTGTTTAGCTTTATCTTCCATGTTGTATTGTCATTGGCACAAAAATATGATTATCAATCAATAATATGTATTCATGTATATAATATATGTATAGAATTGAAACTGTATATGTCCTATTAGATCAATCAGTTAGGTTTTCTTTTCTACGATGCAGAAATGGTGGAGTTCTAATACTAATAGAAAAGTATTGTTAAATACCAAAAATTTGATAGAAATTAATAGTTGAATGATTTGTAATCGTAACCAATCATGTTCTAGCAGAGTAGATTCTACTCCAGTCTTATTTAAGAATTGATGAATGATGCTCAAATAAACAAATTTATGGCTATTCGTCATTTCATCTACTCTATCTGTAACTGAGTGACCTACCAGATTGTGAAGTAAATCTGTTTCACCTGTTCTCTTTTGCAATTGCAGGTTCTGTGTTATTTGACACCGCTCTGTACAAAGAATATCAGCTTGTTTTGGCAAGGTGAGGTAATTTTGTAGTGTGCTTTTTTGGGTCCTGTGAAGTGTTAGTTTTGCTAATGCTTACAAATTTATTTGGAGTTGAGTGAAAATTTTTGGGAAACTAATGGTGTAGGAGTGTGTGATGCCCGTGGAGTGACAGTGGCTGAGTTCCCAAACTATGTAGAAAAAAAAATGAACTCCATGTAATACCATGCCTTAGAACTACTGGAAGGGCATATTTGTTTCTGTTTTCTTGGGAAGTTACCATTTGATCCTACTTTTCCCTTTGAAGAACTATTAAGTCCCATCAAACTTCTATTTAGACAACTAGTCCTACTCTCTATAGTTTATTCCAAGATATTCTAGACTCCATTCACATATACTTATTATAGCTTTGCCCTATTAATGGAAACACTAATGACACTTTCACTCATTATTTCATAGTCAACTTCAATTTAATGTGAAAGTAAAGAAGCAAATAGCAGGACTACCACTAAATGGGTGTTATTTTATAGAGAGCTTGACAAATTATATAAATTACATTTTTTTTTGGACAAAGTGCGGCTTTTTATTTTGGTGACATGCATAATAGTGCAATTGGCTATAATTCAACTTGTTCTGCTTTCTAACGAACTTCTGGTGGATATCAAAACATGTTCGTGTTTTAATGTTACTAGTAATGAAAGAACCAATTTGAGTCTCAAATGTATACCGTGAAATTAAAACAAATCTGTGAGTATGAAGAAATTAGGACTTCAATGATACTTATGTAATTTACATTCTTAAGGGAAAAAGTGGAATTATCATAGGATTAGAAAATTCGTGAAAGTTCATATGTAACAGAAACATAAAAGGGGCTTAATATTTTTTCCATGGGGGAAGTAGGACTTTTTGATAATTTTACCTTCCCTCCTCCCTCTTCCCGTCTTCTTTCACACTCAAAACACTTATACACGCATATCGACGGTGTTGAGCAATCCAGCTGCTGTTTAATTTATTTCAGCCAAAATTGTGTAATATATCAAATTAGAGTGTTATTTGCAAAGATGAGTAAGAGCTTTTTTTTTCTTTGTTTGGTTGAATTCTCGAAGTTCTTAGCAGTTTGAAAAGTGTTTAATAGTGCACTTGCTATATGTGCTGTAATTTGCAAGTCTAAACAATCCTTGTGCTGCTGTTTATCTTATTCCTCAATAATTGTACATATGTACGAATATAGAGGGTCATTTGTCAAGTTCAGTGAAGTTGTTTCTCTCATTGTGTCTGATGTGAACTACAAATGTGAAAATGATGTTTTATGTCGATGTTCATCATTAATTGGACTTTTTACTGTTAGAGAATTATCTTTGCTGTAGTTGCTTACTGATTTTCTTGTTTTGTAAGCTCTAGATTTTAAAAATGAAAGCCTATGTCAGTGACACGGAAGACCTAAAGCAAGACCCTTAATAATCAAGAAACATGCAATGTAAATTTTTATTGACTTGACTGACGTGGGTTTTAATTGAATGTGCAATTTTGTCCTGGTTACTATTGTTTGAATACATTGTGCAAAATGCTTAACTTGCCCCAGACTCCATGGTTTACATAGGACAGGTGAGGTTATAAAAAACATGGAACCAAATTTTTTCATGTCTTCCCTGCATCTGAGCATGTAATCAAAATGTTCTGATTGAATCGCTGAGATTATAGACTGTGATTGACATAATTTAGTAATCATATATATCTTTTGTAAACCGCTTGAGTGCATAGGAATTATCACTTTACATGCTACAACAGAATAAAATAGATTCATCTTGAGTTCTATGAAATGAAAGGAAGTACTACCTCCTGGAAATACTGTCGCTGTTATGTCTCTATTTTTGGAGGACAGTTTCTTGCAGAATCTTTGGATGTGAATTAAGATGCTGATTGGGTGATTTCTTCGGGGAATGCTTTTGCTAAGCAATATGAACTTTATACATCTGACGATGAGCATGCTGTGCTTCTGCACCAGTAACAGCCTGCTTTGTAGCTCTTGGATGAACTTTGGATTAGTTAATTTTTATTGTTTCTATGTCTTTTGTACTGGTCAATATGATATATGATCTCATTGGACATGGTACTAGTGACTCTAACTGTCATCATTGTATATGGTTATAGGTTATAGCCAATTCCTTTTAAGTCCGTTCTTTTTCTTTGTCTTTTTTTAAGGATAGGGGAGTTGGTGTTGCTGAACTGTGAGTGAGTTGGTTCTTTTTCTCGTTCGTTTGCCATCATTGGGTCCAGGAACTGCTGTACCTATATGGATTTGTCATGAACAACCCAGATGACTATCTCATGATAGTTTATTACTGGAAAACTTACTATCCACTTGTAACAACCCGGGATTTGTAACATTTTCAGACTTCAACAAATTCCACAGCTTCATTACCCAATAGAGGCTATCCAGAGTATTCCTTTTTCTGACTCCAAATTTCAGATTCTTGAAGCACAGGTCAGCCATTTATGTGTTCTTATCATGCATTTTCATGTAATTTTTTTTATTTATCAAAATTAACTCTTCCAAAAGCGTAGTTAATGGCTCCAGTGGAGTAATGCAAGTTTTATTACATGCATATGACTTAATTCATACCTGGTTAGGTACATGTCTTTTACCTAGGTATGCATGCATGGGTCTATATTTTTTCTTTAAATATATGTGCATTGTTTTGTTGATGTACTTGCGTGGTGTTTACAGAAAGCTGAGTTGAGGTGTCTTTTACGAAGAAGTTTGCTAGATCATGGTTTTTTTTCCAGCATGCAGACGCAGCACACCACAAACCAAAAGCAACAATAAGTGCACAGACCGTCGAGTATATCGTGAGGATTTCTTGACTGCCTTGAGGACAATAGCCATGCAGGAAGATGAGCTTTGTCAGGTTTCATCATTACTCAAAGAGGTGTGGTTCATTTTCTGCACTACCTTTTTTGCCCTTTCTTATTCTACTTTCAGCTGGTCATTGATGTTCAATTATGTTCCTCGGTATCTTCTTATCTTAGTTTAGATTCACGTTGAAAAAGTAAGACTGTTGATATCTCATTATTTGCATGATCTGTTTAAGTGATATGACATGTATTTCTAACCCAGGGGAAAGTGAAAAGCAAGCTGAAGTAGATGAGGAAGCTCTCTAGTAAAATATTAGCTTATATTTTAAGGGAGTTAGTCTGCCAAAAAGTGAGGGTCACATCATAGAAATTTCATAGATATAGACAAGATGTTTTGATCTTTATATTTCATTTTTAACCACATTGATCAGTTACTCTTACTAATTGTTATTCCTCTTCTTTCTAGGTAATGAGGACAACTTTCTAATTCTTCTTTTTTTTTTTTTTGTGATTGTGCGGATTAGAGAATGTGAAGATTAGAAAACTAATGTGCTCTTTGTTCAAACCTTGAAGGGGCACCAATTTAGGATAATAGAAGTGGAGTTCACCTATGATCGATTGATCATGCACATTGTGAGACCAATAAATGAAGAAGTAAAGATAAGTGATTAATTTCTGTGAAGGGGGCTACTTGGACCAGAGGACTTAAAATGTTGTGAAAGAATGCCGGTAGACGTGTTGAGAAAAGAAGTGATGCCAATGATCCAACAAGTGCTATGGTGATATAGATGTAGATCATTGTGGTCTAGGTTTAATGACAATTATATCCTTTTGACCTCTGATAAGATTTTCCTTGACTCTGAATTTAATAAACAAAGCTTCGTCTAAATTCAAGGGTTGGTACTCATCCAGTAGTTGATACTTTTTTCGTGGTTGCTTAAGAGATTGTAACTGTCAGGCAGTGGTTTTTTTAAATCTATTTTACTAGGCTGGCAGTGGGTGCTATTAAGCGGGATTTTAGCTATGTCAAGCTGAAAAAGTCAGCTTGATAATCCCTAAAAGTCAGCACTGTGTATTGACTTTGGATTCAAGGGCACGAAAGAAACTCTATCCATTCTTGGCTTGCCTCTGACTCAGCAAACACCAAAGAACCATGTCAAATAGATAACCTTGCCAAAGAGAGTGCTAATAGAGGTATTGTGATTTTTTTTTTGCTGGTGATTTTTTTAGAGAAATTGAAGAATTTCGAATCCAATCGTGCTGGGTTGTGCTGCTCGAAATTGAATGTAGACGTTGCAGCACTGCCACGCTAAACATTGTGCTTTTAATATCTAAAATGCTAATTAGGGTTCATGGTAGTTGGGATGCATTCTTCTTGTCATTGTCTTTTTATTTTTTATTTGTTCTCTATTGCCTTTTGAGATATGTAAAGGATGTATTGGTCACTTCATCACATGGAAGGTTTTTGCATGTTTTGACTGTATATATTGCTTCCCCTGCTTATTAATTAGTATATTTACTGTTTGATGCAACTTTTTTAAGTAGTACAAATGGCGCACCTGTAACATGCCTAGTTATTTAATCAACAGCATTTATAGACAGGCTTTATTTGAGATTTTACTTTGAACTTCAGTCCAAAATTTGTTTTGACTTTGAAACTTCTTTGTTTTGATTTTTTTTTTTTTTTTTTGAATTACAAGAATACACTCAGTTTTTGAATTGATTTCTCTTGGAAGAAAATTTTAAGGTTGCATTAGTTAAGTGTTCATTGTGGTTAACGAAGTTTAGAAACAAAGAAAGTAGATGGAGAACACGAAGACTACAAAGAAGAATAATAAAAAGATGACTACAAGGAAGAAGATTACAACAATGAAGACTACAAAGAAGTTTAAGAATACGAATGAGAAGACTACGAAGAGAAGACTACAAACAAGAAAAAGAGCCATAAGCTGACTATGAAAAAGAAGAACAAGAACAAGAAAGTGAACACTATAAAGAAGAAGAAAAAGAGTAAGAAGACTACTAATAAGAAGAAGACTGCTAAAAAGAACAAGAAGATGAACATCAACACTACGAAGAAAAAGAAAATGACTACGAACAAGGAAAAAAAAAAACAGCAGCACCAACACTACGATGAAGAATAAGACTATGAAGAAGAATAAGAAGACTACGAAGAAGACGATGACGATGAAAAAGTAGAATACAAAAAAAAGGACTAGATGTAAAAGAAGACTACGAATAAGTGATGATTACTACGAAGAAGAAAACGAATAAGACCACAAAGAAGACTATGAAGAAGAAGAAGAATAAGAAGACTACAAAGAGAAGAATACAAATAAGAAGATTACGAAGAAGGTGATGACTATGAAGAAGAAAAAGAGTAAGAAGATGAATAAGAACAAGAACGACAAGAGGAAGCAGAAGACTACGAAGAAAGGAGGAGAAGACTACGAAACAGAAGAACAACACCACCACCACCACTAGGAAGAAGAAAAATTTATAGAATTAGACTGTGAAGAAGAAGTAGACTATGAAGGAGTTCACTGAAAAAAAAAGACTAGATGATGTAGAAGAAGACTCCGAGGAAGAAAAATAAGAAGATAATGACTATGAAGAAGACGACTAAGACGACGAATGATGAATAAGAAGGCTACGAAGAAGAAAAAGTAGAACAAGAATAAAAATACGAATAATACTAAGAAGAAAAACAAGAAGCTACGAAGAAGAAGAAAAACAACAACAATAATACTACGAAAAAGAAGAATAAAACTACGAAGAACGCTGAAATATTACTTAACCGATCAAAAGGGTAATTTTTAGGCATGGGTGTATTTTATAGTCTACGAAAACAAAAAAGACTTAACCAATCAAAATGGTAATTTTTTTCATTTTTCTGTAAATGAATTTGAAATATCGACTTTCAAAATTTTACAATGAATATTAATTTATTGGATGGACATAGCAAACTATTCATAACCACCCCAACATCCAACAATGTCACGATAGTGGCTACATGTTAGTCCTTTTTCTTAATTATAAACCAAATTAACTCCCTTAGAGGCACAAGCGACCGCCAAAATGACTATCACGTTATGCTGACACATGCAAGTAAGAGAACTATCTACATGATCTCTAAATTATTCTATTTCTATCTATTAAGCCCCTAAATTGTGTTATATCAATTTAGGCCTTTAACTATCCAATCTGTCTCAATGTGGCCATTCCATCCCAAACTCAATGTGAACCTTGATGAAAAGCCTCACATGTATATCAAAAAATTCAAAAATTAAGAGTAGTTAAGGCCATACACTTACACGAAATTTCAACAGTTAGTTTGGACGTGACACGTTGGTCTTGCTTTGACATGTGTAAGACTGAAACTAGTTTAGAAGGATACTGTAAGTGCTAATTAGTTCTTGCCTAAGTGTTAGTTTTGGGTAATTTTATTTGGCTTTGAATTATTTTCATAATGGAAAAGCTTACATGGATATAGTTTGTTGACTTGCATTCGTTGGACTATTTTGTCTATATTTTGTGTACTTCCTTCATCATAGTAATTCCACCAGGCTTCAATTTTAGTTGAATCAATGGCTTTTTCTTTTTCTCTAGAAAATCTTGACATGGATGTATTACGTTGCATACTTATAACTTAGTAGTGTGCTTCTTGTTCTCTATTGTTATATAATATTAAACAATATTGAAGTGGCCTTGTTCTTGACTAAGAAGCATGGACATGGACACGGGACATGGATATGACTAGACACAGACACGCCTATACGACATTTCTAAAAAACAGTAGGACATGGACACGCTACAAAAAAATTATATTTTATGTATAACTTTATTGCAAATATAGTGATAATGATAAGAAAACCTAATTTCTAGTCATCTGTGTGAATTTTTAGACTAAAGCATTCTCATTATAGTCAATAATAATTAATTTTTTTTTAAGACAATGTGTACCTAATATATAATTTAAATAATTGTTCTAATTTTCTCAATTCTTCTTTTTTAAAACTTTTATGCATCATTTGTTTTTATTATTATATTTGGAATACAACTTTAATATGTCTAGTATTAATAATTATATGTTCTGAAAATTTTAAACTTTGTTAATCACATTTTAACAAATGTCTATTGTTTAGTAGTAGACACGTTCTAAAGAAGGGTCGGACACGTTACCAAAAAAGTGTCCGACACGTGTTCGAAATTAAAAATTTATCATTTAATTATGGATACGGATAAAAGAGTATCGGACACGTGTTCGAAGAGTGTCGGTGTCCGACATGGATACGTCACATTCTCAAGAGTGTCCGTGCTTCATAGGTTCAAGAACATCCTCAACCGGATTTGGTTTTTATAGTACTCTTGTTAGCACTTCATTGGTACTTGGAGAAATTGGTATCGTAAGTGTTTTCCCTGCTTGTCTAATGGATTCAAATGCACAAGTTCCAATAAAAATGCTTCCTTTTTGTGTCTCAGAAGATTGTAATTATCTATGTGGACATGGTAATCTCTGTATTCCGGTTTCCAGTAAATTTGATTTACCTATCTTTTCTTTCTTTTTTTTTCCTATGCAAATTGGAGGTAATTGCTTATAGTTTATTACGGTAATTATTTAGGAGCAATATCACAGTTGTATTTGTAAAATGGTGGGATAATTTATTTAACTGTTCCTAGATAAGTTTTTCTCAGCTGACATTGAATACTGGGGTCGATGATTATATTATGTTTTAGGAATGAGTTCTTGTCTCAGTGGTCATCACAAATTTTCATAAACTAGGGGATATACTTGTAGTTGTTTGTCATTCAGATAAGCTACTTGGAACTGCTAAAATTTCATCTACAAATTACCTTGTTCGAGATCATGGTTACTCCTTGTGCAGAGTAATGTCCATTCCATTCATATTCTTTATACATGGTCCAAGTCTTTTATGCAATTGGGAAAATGATAAGTTGTGTTTTTTCAAGGGTATGGGCTGCAATATATGTTAGGTATGTGAAAGCTCTCTGCCCTCATCTTGTCAGTTTTTTCCTTATCACTTTGATGCCTAAAAGGAGGTATACATTTGTGGTG